GGAACTTCGTGGGGACGATTAATTTTTGATATAAGAACACGAGACTTGTATTACTGTGTACAAAGACCGATTAGGAAGAAATATAGGTCTGTTTTCTACCTCACGATAACGATAATAATTTTGGTGTCGCATCAACCGCAGGTGTTATTCGACGTGGTCGTCATGTTATTCTAATGCTTGAAAGCTCCTTAATTCGAGTGTTTAATTTTTCAATACGAGCCTACACATGAAAGATCATGGGTTAGAAAAAATCTGTTAATGATAATATTACCAATCTACAACTTACTCTAAATGTTAACAATTTTTCTATAATCTCCTTTACCATATACAATTGTATAGGAGTATCTGGTATTATAAAAGAAACGTTGATTTCGTCTACCAAATATATTCCATTATGATGATGCATAGTGTAGAAACAGAAATTTTTTCCTATAAAAAAATGTAGCTTAAAAAGGAATGTTCAGTATAAAAATTACACAAAAAAATTTGACTTACTATCCACGAGAATTCCGAAAATTTCTAAACTGTCAGCTATATTTTCGTCGTTTTTATCAACAATTCCATCATTATATAAAGTTTTCTGAAGCTCATGAAAAGCCAAACGCATTGCCTTTAACATTTTCTTTAGATCCCCCAGAAATTTAGTATGATCGGTTACCACAGCATTTCCGGTAACTTCTAAAAACCCAACATATACTTCAATTCCATTAACATTGATTGAGAGTACACCATCATGATACCATCCGACAGACTTTCGATCGCCAGGATTCTTCGACAAATCCAGTTGCACTTTTCGATGTTTGTTTTCTACTTCGCCACTAATGGAAACACAAAATATAATAATGTTAGTATTTTGTCTATTGGTTCGGATTTGAAAATAAAATATATTTAATATGTACGTTTTCATTTTTATTGTTGCCGAATCTAAAAAAATATCCTCGCATAAGGTATTTACGAACCAACTTCTATACTGGTATTCACTTGTGAATCTGTCGTTAAGGACATTTTTAGGTATGTGAAAGCATGTCAAGCTTCAAGCAAGAAGTTAAAATAAATTAATATAATAACCTATAATTGTGACGGTAAATAACAAGAACTCACAATTTTTGGTAGACATTATCTACCCATCTTTCAAGCCAATTTTTTCTAAATTTATATCCATTCGGATAATCGTAGATAACATCAATTCTATCTAAATCGATGTATCCGTCCTCACTTGCATTTATTATGGCTTCCCGGTACCTATTTAAGATAATTTCCACTTTGCTAAGTGATGGGAAGACTTTTTTTGCGATTTCTTCCTCTTTCTACAATGCACGAAATATAACATTAGGTATCACCAAAATTGTATACATAATATTAATATAAAATCCATTACTTTAAAAAAAAATTCCTCAAAATCTGACCATTCGTCATCGGAAAACTTGGACCTTAATTGATCATTTCTGTTACATTCCGGTAAAAAAATTATGTTGTATCTCGCAATTCCCTTTTTAACTTTGGCTAGTTTTTTTGTTATCCAACTATCTTCAATATGCTAAAAAAAATTTCAATAATTAATTTTGCATAATAGCCAAAATATTACACGGAGTTTATAATCAAAGATCACGAACATCGAGAGGTAGAAGTTCCTCTGTCTCATCAACATCATTATCATATTCAAGATCGTTGCGTTGAGCCTGGGTAAATTGAGGAGTCGGAGAAGCTGGAGTGGCAATATGAAGAGTTACAACACGCGGAGAATTGAGAATCTCATCATTTTCGATCTTCTCTTGCTTGTCTTCCTCTCGACTCTATTTAAGTTAAAAAGATAGCAGTTATTTATAAATAAAAAATACTGCAGATCTCACAGTGAAAAATTCAACGAAAATAAAAACAATACGGATTTAATACAAACCAATTCAGGTACTTCGTGACGAATTCGTTTTTCATCAGACGACGAAGCTTCTTCTCTTATTCGTTTATTGGACGCTGTTTGTAAGAATACTGAATAATTACGTTCTGAAAATATTTTTGAATCGAGTAACCGAATTCTCTCGACAGAATTCTTTTCAGCGTGCTTGTCAAGATAAAGTTTATAGAAATCGTTATAAAACTTCTCACAGTCTTTTCGTACAGTGGAACCCTCGAAAGTTTCACAGATATCAAGCAAATCTTTGCAGAACGAAATTATGGAGGTTGGGAATTTTTTAAAATGGTTTCGTAATATAAAATTCAGTGAGGATTTCCATTCACCGTAAACGGCTGACCACGGTAAAATTGTATCATCGTTTTTCAGACGAAAACTTAAGTAATGTTTCAGCTGCCAATATTTAGCTTCCACCCTCTTAAAGTAAGTACAGATATCATATTCCTCAGAAGCTCTAAAATCCAAGAATTTAATACTTCTAAGTACTGCTGTCATGACCGCAAATCTTAACAATCAAACTTATGTTCAGAAGAAAGTAGCTACTTACATACCGCAGAACGCGTTTTTTCGTGAACTTATCACTGTGATTATCACGGTATCACGTGAGTGAATTCCTTTTTAGTATTGATCTTCATTCATTTCCCGCGGCACAGATTCTTGAAAAGAAATTGTTCAGAGTAAAATTTATGAAGTTTCTCGTGTCTGATCCAGTTCATGGCGGTGAAGTTATGAGTCAGAGTATCCAAGTTATTTCTTGGTGGTCATCAGCCTCTTAAAGCCAAATCTTTGTCGCAAGAAAAAAATTATCGATCGCACATGGTTAAATTTAAAAACCGTTTAACTTTATTACTAATTTCAGATACATAGTAAAATGGAGGTAGAATGCGAAATAAGTGCTGATGCTTTCAAGGGAGGAATACGTGGAACCTAGGCCATTATAAGCGAGTCCCTGCATCATATTATCTCTTTGCTCCAAAAAAAATATACAACTAATTTATTTCAATTGCTAATATTGCTAATATTTACTAATCACGTCACATTTTTTCTACACTAGAATTCTGAAATAAATTACACTCTCCGGCACAGATTTTGAAAAGAAAATATTCAGAGTAAAATTTATGATATACGACACTAACTGGGAAAATAACGAGGGTACAACTATGCCGAAGTTTCTCGTGTCTGGTCCAGTCCTTGGCGGCGAGAACTTCCCTTGTTTACCAAGGAGACGCCATAGCTTCATGTCTGATCCAGTCCATGGCGGTGAAGTTATGAGTTGTTTGATGACTAACAATTGTTCGTGTCTGATCCAGTCCATGGCGGCGACAGTTGATCCGATGACTTTGCTGAATTTACTCGTGTCTGATCCAGTCCATGGCGGCGAGTGATTCCCTTGCTATATATTACCTTGGAGACGCCATAGCTTCATGTCTGATCCAGTCCATGGCGGTGAAGTTATGAGTCAGAGGGTATCCAAGTTATTTCTTGGTGGTCATCAGCCTCTTAAAGCCAAATCTTTGTCATTGTAAATGGAGTTAGAAAGCGAAATACAGTAAATGATGATGCTTTCAAGGGAGGAATACGTGGAACCTGGGCCATTATAAGAGTCCCTGCATCATATTACCTCCTTGCTCCAAAAAAAATCTACAACTAATTTATTTCAATTGCTAAGATTGTTAATATTTACTAATCACGTCACATTTTTTCTACACTAGAATTCCGAAATAAACTACACTCTCCGGCACAGATTTTAAAAAGAAAATATTCAGAGTAAAATTTATGATATACGACACTAACTGGGAAAATAACGAGGGTACAACTATGCCGAAGTTTCTCGTGTCTGGTCCAGTCCTTGGCGGCGAGAACTTCCCTTGTTTACCAAGGAGACGCCATAGCTTCATGTCTGATCCAGTCCATGGCGGTGAAGTTATGAGTTGTTTGATGACTAACAATTGTTCGTGTCTGATCCAGTCCATGGCGGCGACAGTTGATCCGATGACTTTGCTGAATTTACTCGTGTCTGATCCAGTCCATGGCGGCGAGTGATTCCCTTGCTATATATTACCTTGGAGACGCCATAGCTTCATGTCTGATCCAGTCCATGGCGGTGAAGTTATGAGTCAGAGGGTATCCAAGTTATTTCTTGGTGGTCATCAGCCTCTTAAAGCCAAATCTTTGTCATTGTAAATGGAGTTAGAAAGCGAAATACAGTAAGTGATGATGCTTTCAAGGGAGGAGTACGTGGAACCTAGGCCATTATAAGCGAGTCCCTGCATCATATTATCTCTTTGCTCCAAAAAAATCTACAGCTAATTTATTTAATTGCTAATATTGCTAATATTTCTAATATTTGCTAACCATGTCACATCCCCATAATCTTTTTTCGACACTAGAATTCCGAAATAAATTACTTCTCTCATATCTACAGAAATTTCTTCGATCTATATATCACTTCCACCCACACAAACTGTGTAATAATTATTTCCCATAAAAGAACTTCCCCGAGATGAAATAATTTCAACCCCTCTGGGACCGTACCATGATCTGTAACATATATACATGGTAATTTTTTGAATGATAATGATGTCGGGCACTCCGGCCAACTTTGAGTTCGTCTCTGGCGCATTGGTATCTAATAGCTTCATGTATTCGGCAAAAATAAATCATGACTCCCATAATCAATACCGCAATGCATCAGGTAAACTGCTACTCCAATCAATAAATAAACAAAGTTACATGACCAATTTGGAACGAGATCATTTTTGCTAAGATTTTTATAATCCGATGCACCCTCCCACATGAAAAAAAAATATGTAAAAATAATAATCAGCCCCCAGAGCACTTTATTAAAACACATAAGCTGGAATTACATGATATTCATCATATTATACAGACAAAATTTATTTCTATTGCGCAACAATTTCATTTTTAAAAAGTTTATTATAGCTAATTTATATTGTATGCAAAAAAAATTCTCATTGTTTCAATAATAATTTGAAATGTGGAGTGGTTGGCTTTTACTAATAAACTTCACATTTTCAATCTGCTCAGGTGGTGTATAAGTACCGATGGTGGCCGATTTTCATAATCATTTATGATTTCACCAACATGTTGCTACAAATACAAAGTGCAATGGAACTTGTAAGCAAAACTTTATAATAAAACTAACTCAAATAATAACATTCTGTTTACCTCAATCATTACATAATGGGAAAATGTCAATACAATCAATGGAAAAGATCCTTTATCAGTTGTTAATTTGTTATAAAACGTGGCCATGATCTGTATTCTTTAAGATGTTCTTTACAAAATCTTGATTTTTCCTATACTGAGTTGTATTATAAAGGCTTTATTTCGAAATTTAATATCACAATATCGTCAATTACACAGATAAAATCCGAAAATTCAGCCATTTTTTCCATTTACACATTTATTTAATTCCAGAATGTAAGATGTATATCTTCACCAAAAATAAGTTTTATAAATGATTTAAATGATTTAGATAATAAACATAATACTTGTTTCTTTTCATTTTGATATCAGTGAAAGTTCATTTTACTAAGAGAAAGAAAAAAAATTTATTAATATACCAATAATAATTCCTTTATTTTTTGATAATAATTTTCTGTAATACAATAGTTTACGTATAATGATATATCACTATATACTATAATTAGTCCGGAGCGTAGTGAAGGACTATTATGGTTTAGGTTCGATGATACAAAATGTCATTCTGTCTGCCCGCTTGACCTATGAGACGATGACATTCAGTTACTGTGTTTGTCAGTGTTGCTCGTGATCATTTCCCAAATCTTATCAAATTTATTTAAAAACTTTTTGCATTAAAAAAAAAATTTTGCTTTATATTTTTTTTTATTTATATTGCCATTTTTTCTGAGAAATGTGAATTAAAATAATATTTTGATGTTTTGTTTCTATTTTTTTTAACGCTTCGTACTGTTATGTTAAATTGTGTCTTCTTCTGATATTAATGAAACTAGTCATCCTTCTTTGAGCTTCCTTTCTTGTAACCTTTGTAAGTTCTTTATACGAAGCAACCTTTCGAATGTGAACTGTTTGAAGGAGATATCATTTAGTGAACGGACACGTGATATTGCGACAAAAGAATTTTTTTACATTATATTCCCGCCACATTCCCGCGCTTTTCACGCTCTGAACTTCACAACGGCCCTCGCCGTTCCCTAGTTTTAACAGTTTATAGAACAGAAGGTAAACTTTAAAAAAATTTTTTTCGCAACCCTTGCAAATTCATCCCTGTGGCTGCAAATTCATTTAAAGACCGATTATCATTTTTTCATATGAAATTTAATATGCAACGATTATTTTGAGATCAACCAATCAGATTAAAGCCCGCTATACTACTTTCATCAGGATGCAGCTACTAAATTTAGAGGGTTACAACAGTTGTTGTTTCATGTTATCTATCTCCCTTTGTACAAAAATTCCTACGTCGAATAAAAATGACTGTATCGACTGACTCTACAGTGTTCTTTCCAACGGTGTACTTTATAAACTTGCCCTAATATATTTTCTGAAAAATAACAACTAAAGTCTATTTGTATTCCCAAGAAGCTTTGCTGTGCCTTCCTTTGATAACTTATTTGACAAATATTTGTCACCTCCTTTTAATTCTCAGTTATTAATCTTATCTCATTTTTTTCTTCTTTTGTTCTTGAATTTTACACAAACGGATCTCTGCAAGACTTAGGTCTTCCTACAATAAGAATGGGTATTGTCTGGCTTCAAACTCACCAAAGTTTACCAATAATTTCCTTTTCTTCTGCTTTTACATCTCCTTTTCCTTTTTCATCATTACTTGAATTCGCAGCTATTTTTACTGCTTTACTTACAGCCCCCTTTCTGTAACGTTACCTTTTATACTGATTTAGCAGTCATCATCTTCTAGTTTAACAAATATAAGTTCCTTCTCACAAAAGCTTCCACTGTTCACCCTGCTCTCAAAATTAATAACTATATGCATTAGTCTTGTTTTTTTAATATAATGGATACTCACAACCTTACAGTTAAAATGATTAAAGTCAAAGCTCACACTGACAACATCTTCAACAACAAAGTTGACGCTCTGGCAAAATCCAATTTAGACACCACAGCCCTTCAGCTCTATACAAATAATGCATCTTGATGCTATTTCACACATAATAATGCTTTGGTGCTAATACCTATCAGACAATTTTGCAAAGAACTATTTCGTGAACGTTCTCTTTTACGGTTACTTCAACTTTCTGTCCTTGCAAGACATTCACAGCTCTATCAAATTAACTGGTACACCACCTCCTTCATACTCAATAACAATACAGCAACACAGTCTACATTATACTCCGCCTCCTTCATTAGAAAAATGAAATATCAACGTCTTCTTGAAATGTTACCAACTTTTGAGATTTTCAAATTAAGACATTCATCCATTTATAACCCTTCGCTTTTGTGTCTCAGATGCGACGCCGCTGATGAAAACTTTTATCACATATGGATGTGTCCTACTGTCAACTACAAAATGAAAAAGATAATTCAACAATCAAAAATTTATTTAAAAAATATTACCTATACACATGATTATGAAATTGATCAGTTGAACATATGGCTGCTTAACACTTATAATACTTCTGAATTTTTTACTCTTATCAGAGGCATAGTTCTAGTATCTCTTTTTAAATTCTTTCTAAAAAAATTTTCATCCCAAAGTTTGGCTTTAGCTACTTGTTCTTCTTTTATGCATCTAATTTTTAAACTCATATAAAACATTTGATATGATCGTTGTCAACTTGTTCATGATTTTGAACAATCTTCCAATATCACCCTTGCCTCTAAGACTGCCAATTTCATCACATCAGGTTTTGATCTATCCTCTAACCCCTCTACTCATTCTTTTAGCTTTCCTCCAATATCTTCAATGATACAGATGGGATTTTATTGGTCAAATTTTTGGTGCAGTAGTGGCCTCGTCCTCTCCGTTTTCTTACATATGTTTACTCGAAATGTGATTTTTCTAGCTTAGATTATAAATTAATTTTGGGGAAGTGCAGGGTCAATCTTCTATAGTTTTAATCTTAGATTAGTTCTTTACGAGATTTTTGTAATTTCTTTTGATTTGTACTTTATTTTTATTTTACTTTCATAATAAAGATATTGCGAAACTACCACACTTTAAAAAAAATAAAAAAAAAATATTTTTTAAAGAGGGATGGGGATTAGCATCCCTAGTTCAGTTGGTAACAACTGAGCTCCCATTGTGGGTTACACTGCAATAGCCACAAGTTCAAGTCTTAGTCGAGGCATAAAACTAGACGATTTTCATAAGAATTTCATATGTAACTGAACATGTGGGCATATATACTAATATGCGTTAGAAACTGGTTGATTAATCTGTCGATTGACGTTAATCATGCCTAAATACTGAAATTACAGAACAAGTGGATGCAAATAAAGCTAGAAATCGACAGAAACTTAGTCTTCGCTGATAGGCCTGTAATGGGTACTGTCTCACGTCTTCAATTTCAGGGCCTTTACACAAGTAAAGAAGTGATTAACCAGTAATTAGTAGATTGGATGACATCTTGAGATACATTCAAGATGATTATGGTTAATAATAAATTGCATTATACTACCACAGCAACCATTCAATCGAGCTGTCACTTGGGGTAGAGGCTGGATTCAATTCCTGGGTGTGTTTGACGATATGGGTATGACAGTCACCTACCTTTTTGAGATCCTATAAAGATGATAACATCTAAGCTTTCCCGATCATGTGTAAACTATCCTGATACTGGGCAAAGGTAATAGTGATTCTGATTGGTATTGGTAAAGATAGGAAAAATAATCGACTAAAAGTACTTGTGGCTAAAAGTGATCTCTCTATCCAAATTTGACAGTGGTTCTAAGGTCTAATGACCCTAAGGGTTCTGCTCTTAAGGGGTCGCCTGGGTGGCAATCTTTAGACCAGTATATCAATAGGATTAGGGCTGATAATTGAGTCAGTCAAGATCTTCCTAGCAACGTGTTGGCATAATAAGAATTTACATGACTTGTGCATGTTGTTTTTAGCCATATGACCTCCCTGGTATATCGAATACTGAAAAAAAAATTTTTTAAAAAGGAATTGACATTTCTAGTTCAGTTGGCAACAACTGAGTTCCTATTGTGGGTTATACTGCAATAGCTACAGGTTCAAGTCTCAGCTAAGGCATAAAACTAGATGATTTTTATAAGAATTTCATATGTAACTGAATATGTGAATGTATATACTAATATGCGTTAGAAACTGATCAATCAGTGTTAATCATGCCTAAATACTGAAATTTTCAAACAAGTGGATGCAAATAAAGTCAAGGATTAACAGAAACTCAATTTCAAGGACTCTTACATAAGTAAGAAAGTGATTAACCAATAATTAGTAGATTGGATGACATTTTGAGATACACTTAAGGTGATTATGGTTGATAATAGATTATATTGCACTGCTGCAGCAACCATCTAATTGAGCTATCACTTGGGTAAAGGTTAGATTCAATTCCTAGATGTATTTGACGATATAGATATGACAGCTACCTACCTTTCTGAGATCTTATAAAGATGATAACATCTAAACCTTTCTGATCATGTGTAAATACCCTGTAACTGGGTAAAGGTAATAGCAATTCTAATTGGTATTAGTAAAGATAGGGAAAATAATCGACTAAAAGTACCTGTGGCTGAAAGTAATCTTTCTATCTAAATTTGACAGTAGTTCTAAGGTTCAATGACCCTGAGAATTCTGCTTCTAGGGGGTCACCTGGGTGGCAATCCTTAGACCAGTATATCGATGGGATTAGGGCTGATAATTGAGTTAGTTAAGATCTTTCTAGTATTGTGTCAGTATAGTAAGAATTCACATAACTCGTACATATTATTCCTTAGCCATATGACCTCCCTGGTAATATCAAATACTAAAAAAAAAATTTTATTTTTTAAACGATAAATTTTAATATATCTGCTATATATAATTTGATTGGTTGACTTGTCAGGTTAGGTTTACCTAACCTGACCTGACCTGATTTAAAAAAAAAATTTTTTTTATTTATTCGTTAAATAATATCAAAAAATATTTAATATAAAAAAACTCTTTCTGCTTCTCCACCATGCCAAAAAATAGCAGAAAACAAAATATCAACCGCGGTCGCTCTGCGTCGCCCAAAACTATTCTTCAACCTAACAAAAAACAAAATACTACCCAAACAGTTGAACCAACAGTTACTTTAGCT